TGCACAAATGATTATATGTAGTAGTTTTACTTATTTTTTTTTAATTTCATTCATTTATTCTTAGAGACAGAGAAAAGGAAGGAGAAAAAGAGGGAAAGGATCATTGATGTGCGCAAGAGACATCAATTGGTTGCCTCTCGTATGCCCCCAACTAGGGACTTGGCCTGCAACCTAGGCATGTTCCCTGACTGGAAAGCAAACCAATAACCATTTGGTTCACAGGTCAACACTCAATCCACTGAGCCACACCAGGCAGGGCTGTAGTAATTTTATTTATAGTAGTCAAAGACTAGAGATTATCCAAACATCCATCAACAGTTGAATGGATAAACAAATTTTCATGCAAAAGAATACTATTCAGCAATCAAAAGAAATTAATTAATATAACACACACCAGCATGAATGACTCTCAAAAATATTATACTGAACAAAAGAAAAGCCATACAAAAGATTATATACTGTATTTAAAGGAGATTCTAGTAAACGGAAATCTAATAGTAACAGACAGCAAATTATGGAATCACTGGTAGCTGGCAGGAAGTGAAACTGATTACAAAGAGGTACCAGGGAACTTTTCAGGTGATGGAAATGTTCCATATCTTGTTTGTGATGGCTGTTACACTGCTGTATATGTTTGTCAGAACTCATCAAAGTGTACTCTTAAAACAGGTGACTTGTATGTAAGTTGTAACTCAATAAAGTTGATTTTTAAAATAGAATGGAAGAAATTATCAAAAATTTAAGTTTACATTTCCTTAACCTATGCATTCTACTTCTAAGAATTTACTCCAAAGAAATTTATCCCAAAGAAAACATCAGCCAAGGACAGAAAGATGCAAGTACAAAAATGTTCATTACACATTATAATGAATAAAACATTATATTTTATAATGAATAACAGAAGTAATTCTCTTTAATATTCCACCAATAGGGGATTGACTAAAAGTTAGGGTACATTCACAGAGTATTTCACAGCAATTAAAAACAGTGATTAGATTTATATGTATTGACATGAAACATGTTGGATCAAAAAAGTAGAAACCAGTACATATAATTTTATTTTGATTTTATATATATAATACATATGTAAGTTTAAAAAATTTACAAGCCAACTTTATACCAAGAGGTGTCAGTCATCTGTTTTCTAAAAGTAACAGAATGTTGAGACCATTTCTATCTTAGAGATGAGGAAACTGTATCAGAAATGTCAAGTGAGTCTCCAAAAAACCAAAACAAAACTAAGTGTCAGTCTTTCGGGAAACAACTATTATCTCAATGCACAAGCTGTATGTTCTTCAAAGGGACTACACTAGAATTTCCCTAAGTTGGAGTAATAAATGCCAAATACTAATGGAAAATGCATACAGGCTTTTACAGCCATCTGCCTGTCATTCTTACATCAGAATGAAATTCACTAAAAATTTCCTCCATATAATAGGTAATACAGAATGGTCCCTCACTTATTTACTCTTTTATGCTCTGCTTATTTCCCTGCTGCTATCAGGACTTGATTTAAAAGCAGGAAGAAGGCAATGTCACTAAGAAGTCTCCCTGAAAGCAGGAAGAAAGTACTTTGTACTGATTAAGGCCAGCATGACATTCATAGTGGCCAATCTCATTCTGGCCAAGTCAAAATATTCAAATATTTGTTCTCTGACAGCTTATATTGGGAGCCAAAAGATAAGTGAGAAAGTGTGTATACACACACACACACACACACACACACGTACGCAAGCACACACGCACACACAGAGAGAAAAAAGGCTGATTTATTATAATCTGCTTGTTATGTACCAGGTATTTGTAACATTCCAAAAAATAAGAATTACTGGTTTTAATAAATTGGTATTTACAAGGCAAAATAATTTAAAAACTCATCAGCACCCCCTAAATTTACCAGCTCATATTGACACTTCAGTGTTCCTGATCTCCTACTGCACCTACCTTCCACTCTCACTGAGAATAAAATCATCTTGCTATGAAATGTTAAGGGGAAAAGAAGATATCCTGATGGTTTACTAATAATAATTAGTAATATCCTGATGGTTTATTAACTTTATATATAGTATTTGAACATTTAACTTACAGACATGTCCTTGTTCAAGCACATAAATGCCACTTCAAAATGGGTTACGCAATTCTGTACTGTCTACTTGTAGTTGCTCAGCCTGAATCTACTAATCTTCATAGCCTCCTTCTTAAAAAATCAATTTCATCAATTCTCAACCCCTGCACCACAAAAATACTTGGATTCTATTCCTTCTATATCTGAATATCTATATTTCACCATATTTTAACACCTAAGCCCCACCTTGAGCAATATGAACAGGACAGGAAGTAGAAAGAAAAGGAAAAAGAAAAAGGAAAAAGAGAAGGAAGGGAAAGGATCTTGTAAAAATTTTCACCCAAAACATTTTTACTGACCTTGCCCACAATTATTAAAGACAGCTCTCATCTACATTTTTTTTTAAAGATTTTATTTATTTATTTTTAGAAAGAGGGGAAGGGAGGGAGAGAGATGGGGAGAGAAACATCAATGTGCCAGGGGAACATCAACTGGTTGCCTCTCAACCAGTGGCACCCAACTGGGACCTGGCCCATAGTAACCCAGGCATGTGCTGTGACTGGCAATCAAACTTGAGTTAGTCTTGCACTCAATCCACTGAGCCACACCAGCCAAGGCTCTATGCTTACTTCTCCAAGTAATAATAACTTTAACCTAACCAGCCATAAAAATAGCAGAAGTAGCCACTACCATTTATTGAATGCTTATTATGTATCAAGTGCCTTGCCAAGTACTTTATGTTATCTCACTTAATCTTTCCTGCAACTCTCCAAAGCAAGCTGTAAAGATTTGAAGAGGTTCATCTGCTCAAGTCTACACAGATCAAGGACCTCAGAATCTAACTGCGGTCCATTATTTCCAGAGTCAAAAACATTAACCACTATTCTATTTTATTCTACATGCTTTTATTCCTCTCATTACCACAAAACTGAAAAAACACAGCATGGATATCTATATGCACAAAAATAACCTCCACCAAAACTTCACACCTAATACAAAAATTAAGTAGGTCATAGATCTAAACATAGAAAAGGAAAGCTATAAAAATTCTCAAGAGAAATTTGCAACTTAGGGTTAGGCAAAGAGTTCTTACACATGACATCACAAGTACGATCCATAAAAGTAAACTGATAAATTAGACTTCACCAAAATTTAAAATTTTTCTCTGCAAGACACTAACAAGAGAATGAAAGACAAGCTACAGACTGTGAGAAAATATTTGGAAATCACATATCTTCAAAAGAACTATATATTGTGTCCAGAATATATATGAAAGAACACTCAAAACTTAACAGTAAGAAAACAATTTTTAAATGGGCAAAAAATGTAGACACGTCACCAAAGAGGATATAGAATGGCAAAGAGAGACATAAAAAGATGTTCAACATCATTGGCTATTAGAGGAATACAAATGAAAAAAACAATAAGATATCACAATACCACTAGTACAATGGCTAAAATAAAAATGCCAACACCACCAAATGCTGACAAGGACAGACAGCAATTGGAATTCTCTCGTGCTGGTGGGAATGCAAAATGGTACAGGCATTCTGAAAAACAGTTTGTCAGTTTCTCATAAAGTTAAACATATACCTATCACATATCCCAGCAATCTCACTGCTGAATATTCACTTTAAAGAAATGAAAATTATGTTTACTTTAAAAACTGTACATAACCATGGTTGGTATGGCTCAGTAGATTGAGTGCCAGCCTGAGAACCAAAGGGTCACTGGTTTGACTCCCAGTCAGGGCACATGTCTTGGTTGCAGGCCAGGTCCCCGGTTGGGGGGCATTTTGAGAAGGAACCACACAATGATGTTTCTCTCCCTCTTTTTCTCCCTCCCTCCTCCCTCTCTAAAATAAATAAAAAATTTTTTAATGTTTTTAATAAAAAGTAATTACACTAGTACAGAAGAATACTCATCATTATTTATCATAAAAAATAGAATAAAGAGTAAATAAATTATTGTACATTCCTTTAACAGAATAGCACACAGCCATTAAAAATCAAGTCACCCTGAGCAGTTATTGAAATCAGATCGTTATTTTAGTAATCACTACTGTATTTTCCTTCTCAGTCTCAATGACAAAATAATCATGGTATATTGTTAAATTCAAAGAAAACAGGATATAAAACCATATACAAGACATACTTTTTTAATGTATGTGTGTACACATATAACAGTATTATCTGTCAGTGGTAAAATATGGTTGACTTTTTATTAATCCTTGCTCTATTTTCTTAATTTTCTATAATAAGTATGTACTAATTTCATAATTTTAAAAAAATCATGCCTTGGCTGGTAAGGCTCAGTGGATTGACTGCCACCGGCCTGTGAACCAAAGGGGGTTGCTGGTTCAATTCCCAGACAGGGTACATGCCTGGGTCATGGGCCAGGTCCCCAGTAGGGGGGCGCTAGAGAGGCAACCATACATTGATGTTTCTCCCTCACCCTCTCTATAAAAATAAATAAAATCTTTTAAAAAATCAATATTTCTTTAAATTACCAAAAAGTATATCCAAAGGAATTTTAAAACTTACTTTCTAATCTAAATTACCTATTATCCCAGTCACAAGCATTTCACTGTTACATAAGTATAAAAATGTCATATGCAAATTTGTTTTTTGTTACTAACCCCAAATAAGCCCTGACTGTCTCAAGGTGGCATCTCATTAACATTGCCATCCACAAGGTACAGGATACCGTGATATTAAGATGATTCTTCTGTATCTTAAAATTTTTGAATAATATTTCAGTAATATATAGTGCTGATATGACTATACATTTTCTTTCATCTCAGAATTAAAAGAAACCATCAGAAATGGTTACCTTTTTCAGTAGAAGAGATTTGTATCTATTGTTTGAATTAGGAACCATTTTTGTACTCATCATTTTCTTTTAAACTTTTTGCTTTGTTTTGTTTGCTGCTTACCATGGAGCACTTCTCCAGTACTTCCTCCTGGAACTTCACAAATCGTTCCTGAACCTCAACTTCATTGAGGAAAAAGGCAAGGAAGTGTGTGAAAGGCTGCTTTCTTCTAAAAGTGAGCAGAAGAACATCAATCCGAGTTCGGGCTGAAATTACACCACTTCGATGCTGGCCAGTGATTACTGCAAATAAAAAAAAAGTGTTAACGTACTCAAGGATCATCAAATGTTAGTAAGACAGATGACCTCTTGATACTGTCATCTGTGGGGAGCTGTCCTGAATATGTATATAATTCTGAACAGGGGATAGTACCAAATGTAAGAAACTTAAAATGAATTCAATCTAAGTAGAATGAGGTCTAAAAACAATATCCTTTTTGTTTAACTTAATGGTTTTTTTTAAAGATTTTATTTCTTTATTTTTAAATGGGGGAAGGGAGGGAGAAAGAGAGGGAGAGAAACATCAACATCAGAGATAAGCATCGATGGATCAATCAATTGACCAGCTGCCTCTTGCACAGGCCCAGACCAGGGACCGAAACCGCAACCCAGGTATGAGCCCTCACCGGGGATCAAACTGGTAACCTTTTGCTTTGCAAGAAGGACGATGCCCAACCAAGCCATACTAATCAGGGCTTAATGGTTTTTTAAAAATTGATTATAGAGAGAGATAGGGAAAAGATAGAGAGACAGAAACATCGATTTGTTGTTATACTTATTCATGTATTCATTGGTTGATTTTAGTATGTACCCTGACCGGAGACTGAACCCACAACATTGGCATATCAGGATGACCCTTCAACCAACTGAGCAGCCCAGCCAGGGCTAAAAATAGAATATCCTTAAAGACCAGCTAATAAACTAGAAAAATTAATTCAAAAGGTACAAAGTAAACCCTCATGCCTTGTTGGTGGGAATGTAAAATGATGTAGCTGCTATGAAAAAGTTTGGCAGTTCCTTAAAAAGTTAAAAAGGAATCACCACATGACCCAGCAATTCCACACCTAGATAGAAACCCAAAAGAAGTAAAAACAGGTGTTCAAAAAAACTTGCACACAAATGTTCACAGCAGTTTTTTCACAGTACCAAAGGTGGAAACAATACAAATGTCCATCAGCTGATAAACAGAAAAACAAAATGTGGTATCTCCATACAATGGAGTATTACTCAGCCAAAAAAAAAGGAATGAAGACCCAATGAATGCAAAAATATTGATGAATATGAAAACATTATACTAAGTAATAGAGAAAACAAAAAAGCCACATATTTTATGTATGTTTCCATTTACAGGAAATATCCAGAACAGGAACATTCAAAGACAAAAAGCAGATTGGTGGTACACAAACACTGGGGGTAGGAAGGAATGGAAAATAACTGCTTACAGGGGTATCCAACCTTTTGGTGTCTTTGTGCCACACTGAAAGAAGAAGAGTTGTTTTGGGCCACACATAATAACAAAAAATCTCATAATATTTTAAGTAAATTTACCATTTTGTGTTGGGCTGCGTTCACAGCCATCCTGGGCTGCATGCAGCCCAAGGGCCACAGGTTCAACACCTGGCTTAATGGATATGGGTTTTCCTTTTGGGGTGATAAAAAATATTCTAAAACTAAATAGTGGTGATGGTTGCATAACACTGTATTATGTACTAAATACTCCTGAATTCAATATTAAAAATGGTGAAAACGGTAAATTTTATGTCGAGAGGACAAATTAAAACCTACTACTAGATCATTTCCTTCTCCAGGCTCTCTAACTAAGGAGAGGCAATAGAAAATGAATAAGTGGCAGTAAATATCACACCAATGCAACAGCATTCTTGGTTTCACAACTTAATTTACTCTAACCAATAAATTTTATTTTTCCATACACTTTACTTCCCTACAAGATCCAATAAGCCAGTTTATCCTCTTGTTTTTCAATTAAATTAGTTCCACCAAATTCTTCCTTTTAACAATAAGAAACATTCATTTTTCACACTGAAATACCTGTGCTTTCTAAATCAAAATCTAATCTTTACACTACCTACTCTTTTCTGGATAGATTTTGCAATGACTCGGTATCTTAAAATGGCTAAGGTCTCCACACTTATACCATATTATAAAAATGATTATATGGGACTTCCAGTCAGTATGGAGACACAGGTCAAAACTCCTCGCCTCCGCGCATCAACTATAGCAAAAAATAACCTACGCTACAAAACAAGTATCACCCAGAATTTTCAGAAAATCAAGTTATGTGGAAGTCCAACAATAAAGGATTTAAAGAAGCCACACTCATCCGGACGGGCAAGAGGGGCCACGACGCAGAGAGTCTCAGAGAGGCAGAGTGGCAGAAAGAAGTCCGGAGACAGGAACAGGCCGTCCCCAAACCACATGTGATAGATAAAAAACAGGAGGGGTAACTTGGGAACGAGGGATCCCAGCCCTAGTCCAATCACCCAGCCCAGGATTCCAACACCAGGAAGATAAGTCCCCATAACTTCTGGCTGTAAAAACCAGTGGGGGTTGGGGCAACGGAAGAAACTGCATCCTCTTAAAGGGCACTCAACAGACAGGACTCACACAGACCCACCCTCTCTGGGATTCAGCACCAGGGCAATAGCTGGAAGGGCACCAGTGGCACATGAGGAGAAAGTGAAGTACAAGTGGGTAGACAGCTTCCCCCAGGTAACACTCCAGATGCTAGGGAGCAGCACAGTCCACTCTGCAAGCCATTCCCAACACAGAGCAATAGAGCAGTGACACAGGTTGCCCAGCCCTGACGATTACCTAAGGCTCCGCCCCATACAACTTAACAAGTGTGCTAAGACAGGGAGTCAAAGCAGCTCCACCTAACACACAGAAACACAGGGAAGCTGCCAAAATGAAAAGACAAAGAAATATGGCCCAAATGAAAGAAAAGAACAAAACTCCAGAAAAGAACTAAATGAAATGGAGATAAGCAACCTATCAGATGCACAGTTCAAACACTGGTTATCAGGATGCTCCAGGAACTCACTGGGTACTTCAATGCCATAAAAAAGAACATCAGGTGGAAATGAAGGTTGCGTTAAGCGAAATAAGGGAACCAAGAGTGGAGGGAAGGAACCTGAGAATCAAATCAATGACTTGAAACATAGGAAGGAAAAAGCATTCAATCAGAACAGCAAGAAGAAAAAAGAATTTAAAAAAACAGGAGTTTTAGGAACCTCTGGGAAAACTTTAAACATACCAATATCTAAATGATAAGGGTGCCTGAAGGAGAGGAGGAAGAGCAAGAAATTGAAAACTTATTTGAAAAAATAATGAAAGAAAACTTCCCTAATTTGGTGAAGGGAATAGACATACAAGTCCAGAAAAAACACACAGTCCCAAACAAATTGGACCCAAAGAGAATCACACCAAGACACATCATAATTAAAATGCCAAAGGTTAAAGATAAAGAAAGAACCTTAAAAACAGCAAGAGAAAAGCAGAGAGTTACCTACAGAAGAGTTTCCATAAGACTATCAGCTTATTCAAAGTGAAGAAAAGCAAATACCTACAACCTACATTACTCTATACCGCAAAGCTATCATTTAGAATGGAAAGGCATAAAGTTCTTCCCAGACAAGGTAAAAACAAAGAAGTTCATCATCACCAAGCCTTTATTATAGGAAATGCTAACAGACATTATAAAAGAAAAAGAATATCAAAACAATGAACATTAAAATGGCAATAAATTCTCAACTATTAATAATTGAATCCAAATAACAAACTAAGCAAACAAGCAGAACAGGAACAGAAGCATAGATATGATGATCACATGGAGGGTTATCAGCAGGGAAGGGGAGAGGGAAGAATCGGGGGAAAAGGTGCAGGGATTAAGAGGCACAAATTGGTAGGTACAAAATAGACAGGGGGATAAGAATAGCATAGGTAATGCAGTAGCCAAAGAACTTATATGCATGACCCGTGGACACGAACTAAGGGGTTGGGGGGCTGCTTGAGTGAATGGGGGCACTGGCTGGAGGGGAGCAAAGGGGAAAAACTGGGACAATTGTAATAGCATAATCAATAAAATATATTTTAAAAAATTATTTTTGTTACTACATAAATAGCAAAAATTGGGAACATATTCAATTGCCAATAGCAATTAGGTCTGGGGCTATTACAAACAATTTCCCTTTATACCTACTATATATAATTTCTGCAAGCTTCCGTTTTTAAAGCATATAATAATTTTAAAATTAGGAAAAAAGTAGTTAAATAAGCTTACTTTTTTTAAACCTCGCCTGAGGACACGTTCATTGTTTTTAGAGAAAGAGGAAGGGAGAAAGAGAGAGGGAGAGAGAGAAACATCAATGTGAGAGAGAAACACTGATAGGTTGCCTCCTGTACCTGCCCTAACCAGGGATTAAACCAGCAACCTAGGTATGTGCTCTGACCAGGAATCGAACAGGCAACCTCTTGTTTTACAGGATGATGCTCCAACCAACTGAGCCACCTGGCCAGGGCTAGTTAAATAAGCTTAAATGCCATCATAAAATACTTCAATATTTGTAGTTTTAACTTTAAAGCTTAAGAGCCACGTTTTTTAAGATTTGTAATTCTAATGAACTGAATATTTATTTTAATAAAATCCTTTATAAATGTCGTTAAAGTTCTTATGCTTGAGGTTACTGAAGCTGGCAAGAGGCTAGGGAAAACTCTAATACTGTGCTGTCCAATACAGGAGCCCACAAGCACCTCGTTGAACTAAAAGTTAAATGCATTACAATTAAGTAGAATTAAAAATTCAGTTCTTGTCACACTTGTGACATTTCAAGTATTCATAGTTACATGTGACTAGTGACTGCTGGACAATGTAGACATATAACATACCCATCATCACAAAAAGCTCTTTAGGACAGCGCTGCTCTAAAGTCAACTGTTATTTATCTGATACAATGATTGTTCTTATGTAGCACAAAATATGATGAGTACTACTAATTTTTTCTTCTAAAACAATAGTCTATGGGTGTTTATGGAAAACAGATTATTGGAGGCTACTGAACTTAGTTGATTTTTTATAAGTCCTATAGTTTTAGGATGAGTTTTTCTTTTTTAAGATTTTATTTATTTATTTTTAAACAGGGGTAAGGGAGGGAGAAAGAGAGGAAGAGAAACATCAATGTGTGGTGGCCTCTCACATTCCCCCAACCGGGGACGCAGCCTGCAACCCAGGCATGTGCCCTAACTGAGAATTGAACCAGCAACCCCTTGGTTCGCAAACCAGTGCTCAATCCACTGAGCCACATCAGCCAGGGCATAGGATGAGTTTTTAAAAATTTTTGTCCCACCCTGACCAGTGTGGCACAGTAGGTTGGACATCATCCTGCAAAGCAAAGGGTCACTGGTTTGATTCCCATTAGGGAACATGCCTGGGTTGCAGGCCTGGTCCCCAGTTGAGGCACGTGCAATGGGCAACCCACTCAATGTTTCTCTCACACATTGATGTTTTTCTTTCTCACTTTCTCCCTTCTTTCCTCTCTCTCAAAAAAAAAAAAAAAATTTGTCCCTACAATGCCCCTCACTCAAAGTTGTTTTATAACACAAGTATGTGCCTTTGGTTCACACCGATGTTTGATTCAGACACTTTCTGACTTATTTTATATTATCAAACCATTTTTCCTAGCCTCAGCAGTTATTTGAATCAGGTTGGTATTTTAATCATTATTCACAGTCTACAAAGCAAGGTAAAAACAAGGAAACACTCATGGAGGGCTGAACTTTATTTCAAATCTGTAGGTCTCATTGGTTTTCTCTAATTCTAACTTGAAACAATTCACAAACTCCATTACAAGCTACTACAGTGTAAAAGAAACCTAATCACAACAAAATCCAGAAGCTTTATCCCCTCAGTTCATGCTAAAGTACAACATGAAGGCCCAGGTACTCAATCTTGATAAGGTTGTTTAACCACATCTTTCCTCATTTGGGAGATTGATACTAATATATCATAAAAAGGTGAACAGCTATACAACCTCATAAAGAAAATAGTCACTAAACACCTTGGATGGGTTATGTTATTCCATACACATGCAAAAATGATTGCGCATATAACATATATACTGGGTCTCACCAATTTCTCCTTCTTGTCCAGGTTTAGGAATACTAATAGAAGTTTTGGTCTCCACTTCTAGTTTCTTCCTAGTGTCCCCTCTCTTTCCAACTATATGCCTATAATATAAAGAAAAATTAATTATTAGAAGGAGATTAAGCAAAAAACTACTAAAATAAAGAACTGCATCATGTTTAAATCTTATGTAGCCAGAGATTCTCCCTTACAGAAAAGTGCTTCAGTAAAAGCTCACTATCTGTGGAGGAACCTGAACGTCATATAGCTTTACAGAAGATGCAGCATTACACTCATTGACAAATTGATGTCCTATAGCCCAATTCAATATAAAGATTTACTGGTAATAACTATGTCCAATACCTGTTTGCTTCTCAAAATCTGGGTCTGCAGTTCAGTGAAAGGAAAGTTGGCAAAAGGCAATTTAGCGACCAATGGGACTACAGTTTGAGAGGGAGAGAACCCTGTCCTTTCGGAGAACAAATTAACTATACAATTAAATAAGGCTAAAGGGCATGGCAAAGAGCAGAGTTCACCGTTCAGGATAGATTCAAAAGCACAGAGAGTAGCTTTTTTTCCAAGGAAACACCAAATGGCGAATGATGCACGTGCTACAGGAGGGTCCCCAAGCCTCGGGGGCCCTGGAATAGGAGGGTGCTGCAGTTTCCATGAAGGATTTGGCAGTGGCATCAGGGGGCCTAGGTCAGAGCTAGGGTCAGGGTTGGGGGTCGATGCCACAGAGCTCACAGAGGCAAGGCCAAACCAAGCTAGGCTGCCTGGTCAAGGACATGAAGATCAAGTCTCTGGAGGAGATCTCTCTCTTCTCCCTGCCCATCAAGGAATCTGAGATCATTGACTTTTTCATAAAGGCATCCTTCAGGATGAGGTTTTGAAGATCATGCCCATGCAAAAGCAGACACATGCTGGCCAGAGGACCCAGTTCAAGGCCTCTGTCACCATTGGTAACTACAATGAACATATAGGTCTGGGTCTTAAGTGCTCAAAGGAAGTGGCCATTGCCATCCATGGAGCCATCAAGCTGGCCAAACTCTCTATTGTCCCTGTGCGGTGTGGCTACTAGAGGAACAAGATTAGCCAGCGCCACACCACACCTTGCAAGGTGACCAGTTCCTGTGGTTCTGTGCTGGGGCACCTCATCCCTGCCCTCAGGGATACAGACATCATCTCAGCCCGTGTCCAAGAAGCTACGGATGATGGCCAGTAGCCACAACTGCTACACCTCAGCCAGGGACTACACTGCCACCCTGGGCAACTTCACCAAGGCACCTTTGATGCCATCTCTAAGACCTACAGCTATCTCATTCCTGACCTCTGGAAAGAGACTGTGTTCACCAAGTGTCCCTATCAGAAACTCACTGACCATCTTGTAAAGACCCACACAAGAATTTCTGTGCACAGAACCCAGGCTCCAGCCGTGGCTACCACATAATTTTAAACAAGAAAATAAAGTGGCCCTTGGGGGTGCAGCTCCATGGATTGAGCTCCAGCCTGTGAACCAAAAGGTCACTAGTTTGATTCCCAGTCAGGGCACATGCCTGGGTTGCAGGCCACGTCCCCAGTTGGGGGCATACAAGAGGCAACAGATTGATATATCTCTTCTTGCACATCGATGTTTCTCTCCCTTTTTCCCCCTCCCTTCCTCTGCCTCTGAAAATAAATAAAATTTTAAAAAAAAGAAAAAGAAAATAAAGTGAATTAAAAGTGTTTTAAAAAAAAAAGCACAGAGTAAACAAGAAACCTCAGGAGGCTGAATACATAGACATATTTTATTTGGAAAATTTCACCTAAAATTGATAAATTTTACCTAAAAATTTAGCTTTCCACGTTGTTTAGATAAATTAGAAGATCTGACAATTCATGGCAACAACAGACTGGAACCTACTCTCATCCCTAAAAATGGAGAATGATCTCATCACTATTCTCATCATGCCCTTCTGTCTTTTATCTACTCCACTTCGATCATCTATCTATTAATTGATTCATTTACATTACTTACCTAGCCCCCCTAGTATAAATAATTCTGACAATCCAAGGTTATTTTCTGGAACCCATAGTAATTAGATATGTTACAGTGAATGAGATTAATGGATCCCAGGAGAGAAGTTTCAAAGTCTATAAAGCACTAAGAGACCATCAATGGACTATAAAGAGAAAAAAAAATCCCTTATTATCAACAGTACTTTGGTTTCTATGACTTCAACATACTACCCCATAGTATCAGTGACTATGTCTAAAACGGTGAATTTCATCTAATTTTTTCATTATTTTATATTAGTTTCAGGATTGCAGCATAGTGGGTAGACAATCATATACGTTACACAGTGGTCCCCCTATATCTCAGGTTTCCACCTGGCACCATTCAAAGTTATTAGAATATTATTGATAATATTCCCTCTGCTGCACTTTACATCCCCGTGACTATTTTGTAACTACCAATTTGTACCTCTTCTCCTGTCATCCATCAGTTTGTTCTCTGTCTCTATGAGTCTATTTCTGTTTTGTTTGTGTTTTTTTCTTTAGATTCCATATATAAGTGCAATCATATGATATTTGTTTTCCTGTCTTATTTCGCTCAGCATAACATCCTGTAGGTCCAACCAAATTGTCACAAATGGTAAGATTTCATTCTTTTTTATAGCCAAGTAATATTCCATTGTATATATGTACCATAGCTATTTTACCAACTCGTCTACTGATGGGCACTTGGGACACTTCCACATCTTTGCTATTGTAAATAATGCTGCAATGAACACAGGGATGCATGTATCTTTTCAAATTATTGCTTTGAGTTTCTTCAGATACATACTCAGAGATGGAATTGCTTGGTCATAAGGCAATTCCATTTTTAATTTTTTGAGAAACCTGCATACTGTTTCCACAGTGGCTGTACCATTTTGCATTCCCACCAACAGTGCAGAAGGGTTCCCTTTTCTCCACATCCTTGTCAATGCTTGCTGTTTGTTGATTTATTGATGATAGCCATCTGACAGCTCTAAGTGCCCATTTGTTTTTAGATGGGCTAACCAAGCCCAGTTATTTCCATTAAAATCTATTACAGTAAGCCACTTCTAAAAAAAAAACAAGATGTGTAGAAAAGGATTAGAACTCCCCAATTTACATGTTGTTTTTTTCTGTGTTGGGCTACAGATTCTAGTGCACAAACTCTGTCAGGATTTTGTCTTTCCAGGTCTTATCATTAAAGGGTGCTTTCAACCAGGCCCCTATTTGATAGCCTGTTGTTAGTGGACAACCTTATCAACAGGAAGTAGTTGTCTCGAAGTGTTAATTTTCTACTCACCTTGGAAAGGGAAGCAGTTGAGGGTTAAAGAGGCTTTAGACTCAAACAAACCTTGGGTAAGTCATTTAACCACGCCAAGCCTTTTCCTTACTTATAAAAATGAAGCGAATAATGCCTATAATACCTAAGGTTCCTGTAGAGATAAATGTATTCATGTATAAAAAGGGCCTCCCAGTGACTGGCACACAGCTCGGTATAGTCCATGCTATCTTCATAAAGCCTGTAACGGCATCCTCCCAATTAAGAATACAGGCAGACATAAAAGAGGTTTACATGGGAAGTCTAAGACAGTCACTACAATAATGCAGATACACAGAAAAAGTGTGACTGTTTTATTAAATATATAAATGGAAATTCCTACCAGATTGAGTGGTTCTCAATCTTGTCTACAATGAACTCACCTAGGGTATTTAAAAAACTAATGATACCTGGGTCCAGCTCCAAAGATTCTGATTCAGTTGGTCTGAGGTGCAGCCAGATAGCAAGAGTTTTTAAAGCTCACCATGTGGTTCTAATATGCACCTGGGGCTGAGAACCACAGTATTAGATTGAATCCATACACAGGTATTAACCACCATTAAGCTATGATTATACATTAGTTTGGCCAGATAATTTCTTCCTTGATCCTAATAAGCCTACAGAAATGATTCATAAGAATTTTCCTAGTAAATATTGTCTATTAATTAGAATATAACAGAATCAATATCTAACATGCAAGTCATCTGATACAGCAGTTATTAAAAGAAACAGAATTTAAAAGATCAAGTTGAAATCATAAATCTGTGGAATTTTTACCCACTTTAGCTATAGCAGATATATACATTAAATAAGATATGTTACATTGATTTTATCAGGAACTGAGCCATGAACTTCTCCAATAATGTTTCTTAGAAGAAAATGTCACTGAAACCTGAGAGGAAAGTGGGCTGTCACAGTTAACATTTGGTTTCCCATGTGGCCACATTCCAGAGGAATTTTTTCCTTAATAGGCATCTTAGTATACTCTCAAGGCTGAAGAAAATGAAACGATTGCCTCTTAAAACTTAAGGGTATATGATTCCATATTTGTAGATCTCCTCTCATAAAGAAGACTGGACAGACCTAATCATGTGGTACAACACAGAAAAAGAATTTATGGACTTTCTAGACCAGCCTATCTTCAGAGGTGTAAGCCCAAAAGAAGCCAGTTAGGCACATAAGCTAATCACATTAGTAGTTAACAGGGAACAGAAGGTGGTCAAGTAAGCACAGATTGAAGTGATAACAAAATTTCCAAGCAATTTATAATGATGATCCTGGAAAAAGCATATCAGTCTTTGATAAGTGCTAGGGACTAATGCAAAAGACACATGCCTACCATCAAGAAGATTCCCATCTAGTGGAGGAGACATCAAATAGCACAGAAGTAAATATAAACACAAGACTAAGAAATGCTACAAAGGAAAAATAGAGGGTGTTAGGAAAACATGTAGTAGGAGACTTCCAGTCAAGATGGAGGCATAGGCAGACCCAGCTCGCCTCTTTGCACAACCACATCAAAATTACAACTAAAATACAGAACCACCATCACTCAGAACCACTAGAAATCAAGTTTAATGGAAGCCTGACAACTACAGAATTAAAGAAACCATTTCCATCCAGATTGGTAGGAGGGGCACAAATGTGGAATGGGCTGATCCCTTACCATGTGTGGTGTATAAAAATTTAGAAGGGATGCCATGGCTCATGTGGCTCAGTGGACTGGGTGCCAGCTGGCAAACCAAAGGGTTGCCAGTTTGATTCCCA